GGTATTGACGAGACTAATACATTTCAGATAACATTATCTACCATGAAAATTGTGGGCGCCACAAGATTGGGCAGTTTGTGGGCGTTAGAGTGGGCGTGGCATATTCGCGTAACAAACTTGCGCTGCGCTCGGAATTTAAATCTGAAATCCCAATTCCCTATCTTTGATATTTTCCGAGATATCCGCGTTCATACTAACGATTTTTTGAAGTTTGTGGGCGGTTTGTGGGCGTTAAACTGGGCGCGACACGCTGCTTAATCAAACTTGCGCTGCGTAAGAAGCTCAGGAATCTGCATGCCAAATCTCAATGACCTTGCTATTATAGTTTCCGAGATCTCAGCGTTCATCCGGACGAACGGACAGACGGACATGGCTAGATCGACTCGGCTAGTGATCCTGATCAAGAATATATATACTTTATGGGGTGGAAACGCTTCCTTCTGCCTCTTACATACTTTCCGACGAATCTAGTATACCCTTTTACTCTACGAGTAACGGGTATAACAAACAGCGCAAATGTTCCACTTTTATAAGAAAACTTTTCGTCGAAAGTCAGAGTGACGGCCATTCAGTGAAAAATATCTTTAATACCATACTAAGTACCATAAATACACAAAAAATACGAATATCAGTATGATACGGATTCTTATAAGCATTTGTAATTGATATGATTTGTACTCGTATACCCTTGCAGAAAGTATTATGATTTCAGTCAGAAGCTTGTAACGCAATGAAGGAGACGTTTCCGACCCCATGCAGTATATATTCTTGATCAGCATCACTAGACGAGTCGATCTAGCCATGTCCGTCTGTCCGTCTGTCAGTCTAAAACTTTCCCAAAAGTCTTCTTTCTTTCGCAGGTAATATATAAGTCCAAACCAACCGGATCGGACAACTATATCTTATAGCTCCCATAGGAATAATCGGAAAATAAAAATGTAAGCAAGGAACGCTATAGTCGAGTACCTCGATTATCAGATACCCGTTACTCAGCTAAAGGGACCAAAGGGAAATGGAGATATGCAAGCAGCAAAGCGAGATTGAAATGCGCCACCTACCGGCGGTAGACAGATTTAAGGGTTATGGGCTTTAGAGTGGGCGTGGCAAACTTTATTGGGTCAAATAAACAACATTTTTTTCTAGCATGAAAACTGTGGAAGCCACAGTTTTGGGCGGTTTGTGGGCGTTAGAGTGGTCGTGGCACACTGACGAAACAAACATGCGCTGCGCAGGAAGCTCAGGAATCTGCATGCCAAGTCCCAATAGCCTAGCTCTTATAGTTTCCGAGATCTCAGCGTTCATCCGGACGGACGGACATGGCTAGATCGACTGGGCTAGTGATCAAGAACATATATATTTTATGTGGTCGGAAACGCATTCTTCTGCCTGTTACATAATTTCCGACGAATCTGTTATACCCTTTTACCCTACGAGTAACGGTTATAAAAATCGGACTAATTTATCATATAGCTGTCATTGCAACTATCGGATAATTAATGTGATTTTAACACAAAGACCGATGTGTTTCGTTTTCGGTAAGCATATACAGCAGTAAATTAAATTAGCACATTATCTTGTGCGGAGTTTAACATCTCCCCACAAATTACAGCCTGCTAGCTACCAGACACGCGGCGAATCAGCGCGTAGTAACGGCATGGCGAATGTGATGGTTTGGAGAAAGAGAATTTGGAAAAAGAGAGTTTAGAGAAAGCGAAGATGGAGAAAGAGAGTTTGATAAAGAGAGTTTGGAAAAAGAGAGTTTGGAGAACGAAAGGAAATAACGGAACGCACCGGACTTTGGGCTCTGCCGTGGACTTTGGACCAGGAGAAGAAGGGCCACATCTCAGCAGCGGGACGGTGCGTCTGCGTGCCACATACCACAGGAGGATCAGCAGGCCAGTGCCAAGACATAGGACTCTAGAGCAAAGAGGCTAAAGCGGGACTTTGGACCTGGAGTGGAGAGTACGAGTGGGCCGTACGCAAGATATAAACAACAGTTCCCGGATGCAGGATAAGTCGATCACGAGGAGTCAATCCAACCAGATCAGTCAGTTATCAAAGAACCAAGTCAACCAGCAGCATGAGAACAACAAGTCAACAACAACAAGTCAAGTCGTCGTAAGCAGCGCCATCGGAAGCCTCAAGGAGCAAGATCGCTACATCGAGACGTTCTGGATTGGGACATTAGAAATATTCGAATTGAGACACAGGTAGCTGACGTCCATAGGGCATCACATGACTAAGTCAAGGAGGTTTGTTTCATACTCTGTCGCGGGTCCGTAAGAGTCGAGCAATAAAGTCCTGCGACGAAGAACCGTGAGCTCGTGGGGAAAGTTGTCTTAGCCCAGTGCGCGTTACCCGATTAAGCAGGATCTGGCGCAAAGGTCGAGCGGTCGATTATTGATTTCAAGAGAGCCCAGAGATTACCGGCGAAGTCCCGGGACAGCAGCCGACCGAGGCCGCGAGTGCCAAAGCACCACACTAAAAGCCAAAAAAACTAGCAGTCGACCGGTTGTGGCAAGGCCCGAAGCGGCAATCGTTTAAGACCTCAAGAGCCAGGGGCCAAGATACACCCAGTCTCGCACCAAGCACGATAAGGAGCAGAACAGAGGACATCGACAGCGAAATCAAAGGACATCACCGGCTCCACGTCACGACCGCCACGGAGAACGGTTTTTTGACATATTTACTTCTACTTTTGAAGATATTATTCTTTAGGTGTTTCAGAGCATCCAATAAAATTATTTTATTATATAGCTATCATAGGATCGTTCGAATAGTACTACCTTACAAAATAATATTTTAAAACTGCCTCAAGAAGGATAATGGTAGTTTCTGGGCGTTAAAGTGGGCGTGGACAACTTTTTTTGGGTCAATCGACAGGTATTGATGATAACAATACATTTCAGTTAAAATTTTTATTATAGCATCAAATCTGTATGAGCCACAATTTGCGGCGGTTTGTGGGCGTTAGAGTAGGCGTGGCACGCTGCTGAAATAAAATTGCGCTGCGCAGGAATCTTAAGAATCTGCTTGCCTAATCCCAGTATTGTCGCTCCTATAGTCTCCGAGATCTCAGCGTTCATACGGAAAGGCGGACAGACGGACATGGCTAGATCGACTCGGCTATTATTCCGCTCTAATGCCCATAACGCTTAAATATGCCTACCACAGGTAGATGGCGCATTTCAATCTCACTTTGTTGCTTGCATATCTCCATTTCCCTTGGGTCCCTTTAGCTGAGTAACGGGTATCTGATAGCCGAGGTACGCGACTATAGCGGTCTTCCTTATTTTCGTTTTACTTTTCCAAAAATACGAAAGCTCTGTACATACATTTAAATACGAGTTTTTAAGACTGAAAATATTTAAGATAAATATATTTATACCCTTGCAGAAGGTACTATGATTTCAGTCAGAAGTTTATAACGCAGTGAAGGAGACGTTTCCGACCCCATAAAGTGTGTATATTCGGCATCACTAGACGAGTCGATCTAGCCATGTCCGTCTGTCCGGCCGTTTCTGCGCAAACTAGTCTCTCAGTTTTAAAGCTATCGTGCTGAAACTTTCCCAAAAGTCTTCTTTCTTTTGCAGGTAGTACATAAGTCGGAACCGGATCGGACAACTATATCTTATAGCTCCCATAGGAATAATCGGAAAAAAATTTTCTTTTTAATATTTCTTTGGTGTTTCTTAACATATAACCTCCTACGCTTGGAAATAACATTTTTTAAATACGAGGGCAGTCCGATAAGTACTTGGCCTCACCGCCCGATGGCGTCACTATCGCAAGAGAAATTTACTATCGTGTAGTACATTCTCGTAGACGGCTACTATCGAGATTTCAACCGAACTCGGACTCGTAGTTTTGTTTTGAAAAATGGAGAAAGAGCAGTATCGATCTGTGACTCGATTCTTGTTTTTGGAAGGGAAATCGCGCAGCGAAATCAAAGAGCGCTTGGATGCTGTATACGGTGACTCTTCTCCTTCGATGGTGACCGTCAAAAATTGGTTTAACGAGTTTCTACGTGGTCGCAGGTCAGTTTTTGATGAGCCACGCCCAGGTGCCCCGAAAACGGCTACCACGGAGGATAACGTGACAAAAATCCACGATCTCGTATTGGCAGACCGCCGATTGAGGATACGCGAAATAGCTGAGACAGTAGGCACGTCAAAGACCGCGTGGGTCATATCCTGCATGAAATTTTGGGCACGAGAAAGCTGTCGGCGCAAAGGGTGCCGCGTTTGCTCACTCCGGACAACAAACGCTACCGTGAAACCACTTCAGAGCAGTGTTTGACGCTGTTTAAGCGCAAGCCGAAGGAGTTTCTGCGTCGTTTCGTGACCGTCGACGAAACATGGATCCACTGGTACACACCGGAGACCATGGAGCAGTTGAAACAGTGGACTTCACCAGATTTGGCCCCGTGTGACTACTTTTTGTTTCCAAACTTGAAAAACTCGCTCGCTGGACAGAAATTTGCATCGAATGAGGAAGTCGTCGCCGCCACAGAGGCCTATTTTGCAGACCTCGAAAAAATGTATTTTTCAGACGGGTTAAAGAAGTTTGAGCATCACTCGGTCAAGTGTATCGAGCTAAAAAGAGATAATGTTGAGAAATAAATCGGCACTTTTCCAAAATTTTCGTTTTTTTTTTTGGAGGTTAAGTTCTTATCGGACCACCCTCGTAGTTCTGAATTTCGAATTTAATTTTATCAAAATCGGACGACTGTATCATATAGCTGCCATAGGAACGATAGGAAAATTGGTGGGAAAATAATATGAACAAATTATAGCTACGGTGTTTATACTATTGGAAATATTTTTTTTTGTATTTTTAAGAGTTTCGAATTAAGTGTAATAAGGTAAATTCCTTTCTTGTTTATTATTCCATTTACTATTATTTTTATGAAGAGTGTAGTACGGCTGTTAGCGTCTTTTCACTGCCGAGTTGCGTATCGTTAATTGACAATAACGTGGCCGTGTGTTTTCAATTCGCAGCTTCCTCAACTCGTGCGTCAACCCCGTGGCCCTCTACTGTGTGTCAGGGGTGTTCCGACTGCACTTCAACCGCTATCTGTGCTGCGTCTGCGTCAAGCGGCATCCCCACCTGCGACAGCACTCCACGGGGATGGACAACACCACCGTGATGTCTATGCGTCGCTCCACCTACATAGGATCAGCTGGAGGGGGGGTTGCCAATCTGCGGGCCTCCCAGCACAGGGACAGCTGTCATGGAGTAGGAGGAGGAGGAGGGACTGGACATGCGGACAGCCTTCACCGGCAGGAGTCGATGCCCCTGCAGCACGGAAATGGCTGCGTATCAGGCGGGCGCGCCGCGTCCGTGGGCGAAAAGAGGTGAGGCACGCTCATTGTGGAGCTGCTGGAGGAGGAGGAGGTGATGGTGTCCTTTCAGGCCGACGAGCAGCTCTGAGCGTAGAAATTGGGCCTTCGATCTCACCTTGTGCTTGCACCACCCTCACTTTGAATCGCACGCACTATGCACTCGACTCCATCCGCCTAATCGGGTGCCCCTGGCCAGGTTATTTGTTTGTTAGTGCGAGGCTGGAATAATTTGCAATCGCACCCATGCCGCTTCCAATAGGTAAGGAGCATATGATCAAAGAGTGTGAGTACATAGACGTACATGCCATACAACAAATTCTGTCGTATGGCGGGCTCTAGCGGTGGAACACGCAGCTTCACCGTTTACATATGTCCAAAATTGGTTGCCACGCTACAGCACACATACACACAAAAACCACTTACACATACATTGTGTACGCAATAATCGATATCTGACAAGAGAAACACTAAAGTCGATGACCTCGACTATTAGATATCCGTTACTCAGCTTAAGGGAGTGCGAGAGGAGGTATGAAGATATGCTTAAAACAACTTTGCTTTTTTCATTAACACACCTAGCCTAAAGCGCAACTTATCTTCTTCTTCTATTCCGCCCCTTGGCCTACAGCGCCAACTAGCCTATAGCGCCCCTAGCACAAAATGTTGATAATTACAAATCACGAATGTACATGTAAAATCTCAAACTTCTAGCTTTTATAGTTTCAAGAATATATATACTTTATAGGGTCGGAAACACTTCCTCCTACCTGTTGCATACTTTCTGACGAGTCTAGTACACCCTTTTACTCTACGAGTAACGGGTATAAAAACAGAACAAGCTCTTTCCCCGTTTCCAATTGCCGACTACTGTATGACAAAAAAGGCATGCTCACGCGCTCTCTATGTAGATTCAAACTCTTTGATATCGGCGATTATGCTTTTCCTGGATGAAAGGGATAGACGAATTGGGCACCAATAGCATTTAATTGAACTCAGCGTCATTGTATAACAAATTTACCACATGAAAAAAAATTTTTCGATATGTAATCGTGTGCCATAGTCGTATATTGTGTTAATTAAGTAACTCTCCAAGCATCAAAATAGAATTTTATACTTAAGCCACAGACTCAAAACCCAAAATAAATGCACATACTTAGCTAATGACCGAATGTATATATTAACGAATACATATTTTAATAGGCTTAACAGATGCAAACATATGTGTACTGTAAATACATGAATTCCATAAAATTAAAGCGGTTAGATATTGTGCAAGCTTAGACCCCAAATGTTGATAGCTTGCAGACCATGAGGACACCAAATACTCAGGTACACCCAAAAACATTGTTCGAAATGTTTAAAAACGGGATCAAAAAGTGTGTAAGCCCGTTTGCTGACAATTCCTGAACGCGCTTGTTCATAAAATTTGGCCGAAATTTGCGATAGAAATGGAGATATGCAGCAAAGCAACTGTTTACAATTGCACACCGCGCAACAGCGCCACCTAGAGTCGATTTCTTAATTTGTTTGTAAATTTTAATTTTCTACCGTTTACCGAAAAATAAATTTAACGGTCTTTGTATTATTTTGACAATAATTATTCGATTGTTCTTATAGCAGCTAAATGGTAAAGTTTTTGCAGAGGGTATAATGATTTCAGTCACTGCGTTTGCAACGCAGGAGACGTTTCCGACCCCATAAAGTATATAGATTTATTCTTGATCAGCAACACTAGACTAGCAATAGAAATTGATAGATTGTTCGAAATCGTGAAAAATGTTCATGATTTTTGTTGTTCTTTTTTTCTGGGTGTATGTACTGTTTGCTTTGGCCTTGATCATTAATAATATAAGCGGTTTCTGCTTACGTATTATTGTATTTTAAATTTTTCCAGTCTTTTAAGCCGTTACGAAAATGACCGCATACGTTACTAACTAAGGATGCTGAAGACGACTTAGCCCAATGAGAGAGAAGCAGCCCATTGTGAAGAGTCAGTCCACGTGGAATACATAAATTATAACCAACGAATAAGTGTGCTCTAATATTGTGGTACTATTTGTAATAAAAAGTGAAAATGTCTTATGTAAAATATGGCTTTCTATGAAAAGCCAATATCATGTGCTTACCAAAAAAACGCTATAGTCCAGTGCCTCGACTATCAAATACCTGTTAACTCAAAGCACCGCAAGGGAGTTGGAGATGTGCATCCAGCAAAGCGGCGATTACATTATTTGGTCATAACCTCTTAAAGAGTGGTACTAATAACACCCGCTTACAAAATAATATTTTGAAACTGGCCCAAGAAGAGGCTGTTCCTGGAAGAATTGGACGCCTAGATCACGAAAAAGAAATCAAAAATATTTTGTATAGATAAGTTTCTGAAAATTTTTTTAAGAACAATTTTTGCCGTGTTTTAGTTATTTTTCAAGCTGGGCGTAACTTATTTAGAAGACATTTGTTTTAGTTTTAATCTATAATGTCACCCTTTAATTTTGCCGAATAAATGAGCAGGATACATTGAGAATTTTTAACAATTTAGTGACTTTAAGGCCTCTGTTGTTTTCAAAAGCGACAATTGATAATACTTGGGATTCTATAAAACTATTTATGCAAATAAACATATAAGAAATAAATTAATTATAACATTTAAGTAAACATATACCCAAAATGATGTAAAAAGTTAGTATTTGTTACTATTAAATGTTCATTTTTATATTGATTTAAATCAGAAGTTTGCGACTCAGTTAGGCAGACGTTTCCGACCCCATAAAGTATGTATATTCTTGATCAGCATCACTAGACGAGTGATCTAGCCATGTCCATCTGTCCGTCCGTCTGTCCGTTTCTACCCAAACTAGTCTCTCAGTTTTTAAGCTATAGGGATTAAGCCTTCCAAAAAAAATTATTTCTATTGCAGGTAGTATTTAAGTCGGAACGAGCCGGATCGGATAACTATATCCCATAGCTTTATTGGATGAATAAAACCAAACAGTTTTTTAAATGTAAAAAATTTCAATATATTATCATTCTTTTAATATAATACTGCAGAATTTCGAATACAATTAAAAAAAAAATATGACGACTTTATCATATCAATGCTTGTACATTAGACTAAATAAATACACTTTCTAAAATGTTTTGATTCTTTCGGAAAAAAAATTGGAAAAATGTGCTCGTTCGCTCTGTTTCCGGCCCGAACCTGATGCTCCGACGATTGTCGATAACAGCCGAAAGATTCCGAGAATAGAAAATGTCGACGCGCTTCGTCACTGTGCGGGCTTCCATTTAACATGCAAACTTCTTTAGGCGGTAAAAACCGCGACTCACCGCCTCAGTGTACGCGCACCTTTAAGCTTCTCGCGTCCAAGATATATTTTATTGTAGCGTATCGAACAAGAACATTTCAGAAAGTGTATTTATTAAGTCGAATGTGCAAGCATTTTTCGTCACAAAAGTGGAATTCAGAACTTTTTTATGTTGATGGTGCATTATAGCCACGACCTCTTACCTCGTTAAGAGGTGTTGTTATTTGGTGTAGAATAAAAACGTTTTATTTCCCGGTTTGATTGGACTGTGTTTCATTTATTAAACTTGTCACATTTTTTTTTGTGTCCGATTCTTTCAGTTGTAGTCTTAACAATAAGTCCTAAAAAATCTCTAAAGTGTGGCGCAGCACCAAAATATATTAAAAGGGCAAAGTTAGTATTTCATATACCAAAAAGAGAATAAGATTCAAAATTAAATAGCTGCTGTAATGCGCTTATCAACATCCCGGGCCGGCCTGAAACAATGTTTCAGAATTAGGCAGTGCAGCTATCTTGGTGATGGGACGGGTCATCTCTCCAGTAGACGTCTTAAGTTGTACAGCGCGTACAAGTCCATCTGGTCCAGGATGAGCTTCCACTACACGGGCTAGTATCCAAGCTGCTGGAGGGAGATTTGAGTCCTTGACGAGGACTACATTGTCTACTGAGATGTTGCGTTCCTTGTTGCTCTACTTTTGACGTTGCTGCAGCGTTTCCAAAACCCTTGATACATCGATTGCAAGTGCTGCCAATAGTCCAGACGATTGATCGGCAAATTAGTCAGATCTCCCTCTGGAACAGTTGTAAATGGGCGTCCAATTGAAAAGTGGGCCGGAGAAAAATAGGTAAGGTCAGTGTCAGGTGTGTAGCATAATGTCCGCGAGTTTACTAATGCACTGATCTGAGCAATCAGAGTTTGCATTTGTTCAATGGTTAAAAAAGTTTTTCCCACAACTCGACGCAGATGTAGTTTAACGGAACGTACTGATGACTCCCACTTCCCTCCCCAATGTGGCGAATGGGGAGGTATAAAACTCCACTTAATTTCATCATTGGCCAGTGATTGTCTTAGATTGCGTTGATACTCCTGCGAAGATAAAAAATGTTGCATCACATCTAGTGCCCGTTTGGCGCCAACAAAATTCGTCCCGTTGTCGCTGAAGATCTGTGAGCATTTTCCTCGAAGGGACATGAAACGCCGAAGACATGCCAGGAATTTGTCTGTGCTAAGATCGGTGGCCAGTTCCAAATGTATGGCTGATGTTACAAGGCAAACAAAGAGGCATATGTAGCCCTTAGTTTTTCGGGGATTGCGCCCTCTCCTTTCCTTCAGTATAAATGGAAGGGTAAAGCTTCTGTTATACGGATGCCTGGTGCTCCGTGAGTTCACGTTGGCGGAAACATTTAATGCAGTTGTGAACCAGATTCCTTATCAGGTTGCGCGCACCTAAGATCCAGTACTTTTGACAACCAATTACAAAAAGTGCAGAAACTCCTGGATGAAGATTTGTCGTATGCTCGTGTTCCAAAATCATTCTTGTGATGCGGTTCGACTTGGGAAGCAGTATAGGGTGTTTTACATCAGCTGGTAATTTTGAGTTGTACAGTCGTCCACTCGAAGAAGGCCATCTTTGCAGATAATCGGGGAGAGCTTCACCAACTGGGACCGGCTGTGAAGTGGCTTGCTTTCCGTCAGTAGCTTGCGGTCTTCCATAAAACATTTCTGAGCCTCTTGCAGGCAAAGAATGCGAGCAGCCTGAATCTCCCCAAAGGTGAGCATCTTTCCATTCGCCAGCGTTGCAGTGTTAATGGCCTTGTTATTTTGGATGAAGCGTAAGGCGTAAGCCACAACGCGTACCAGCTTTGTCCAGGACGAGACGCGTTGAGTCAAAGCTTTGATTGGTGACAATGAGCAGCTTTCCTGTGCGGTTAATGCGGTCCTCACTTCTTCTTTTCCATGGTTTTCTAAAAGGGAAGAACAGAACTTTTTACAGGTCAATTTTACCGCTAGCATTTCTGGATCTTTCAGCCATGAAGCTCCCATCCACCATTAGTGGCGCAGTTCGCCGGATTCTCCTTTGTGTTTACATGATGCCATGCGTTGCGGGGTAAGGCTTCGAGTATTTATGAGGTTCTATTGGCTACAAATGTTTTAAGCTTAGATGGTGGATGTGAAAGCCAAGCCAAGACTATGGTTGAGTCACACCATGCATGTACTTCAATGTCCTTGTGCTGTAGTGCAGCCTTGACTGATAAGAACAGTCGGCTCAGTAGCAAAGCGCCACACAGTTCAAGCCGCGGTAGAGACTGCTGCTTCAGCGGAGCAACTCTGGTTTTTCCTGCTATGAGTGAAACAGATACGGTGCCATCTGCTCGCACCACTCTGCTATATATGACTGAGGAATATGCCTTGATGGAGGCATCTGAAAACCCATGCAGTTCGATGTGATCTCTGTTTTGGACAAAGCGTGGCAGGCGTACATCTCGAAGGATGTGTAGGTCGTTACGGCATTTATTCCACCAGTCCGCAATTTTCGGAGGAAGCTCCGTGTCCCAGCCGAGATCGAGTAGCCACAATTCTTGGAACAGAATTTTAAACTGCACTACCACTGGCGACAGAATACCCAGCGGGTCAAAATGCGTGCCACATCTGACAGCACTTGTCGTTTGGTGTTGTGCGGATTTGTTGTAAGGCAAACTTTGCAGGATACCATATCCTCTTCTGGATCGCAATGAAAGCCAAGAACTTTTGCTGTAGAATTTGATCCTTTGCATTGTACTTCGGTTGTAGCGAGAGATCTGTTAGCGACACGTGATGAATTGGAAACCCATTTACCAAGTTCCATGCCTGCACATTTCATCAACTGGATCAACTCATTTTGATTGCGAATGAGCTCCTCCTCGGTATGTGATCCGGTCAGTACGTCGTCCACATAAAACTGCTTCTTCAAGATCTTGATTGATGGTCGTGAGCTAATTGATCCAGGACCCTCACTGCCAAAAATGGTGCGCAGGATGTGCCGTATGTTACCGTGGACAGTTCATAGTGTTTAATAAGAGTCGTTTAATCTTCTCTCCAAACAATTCGCTGATAGCCACAATTTTTGTTTGTCGATACATTTTGACATTATCTGCTGAGAAGACGAACTTGAAACTGAAACGCATACAAATCGAGAAAAGGTTTCGTAGAATGCTGGGTCCAATGTGCAGAGCTTCGTTTAAGGACCGTCCATTCGTGTCCTTGAATGAGCCGTCAAATACGACCCGTAATTTTTGGGTAATTACAGGATGATTTGGCAAGTACAAGCTCGGCCTTTTGTCAATGTCTTCTGGCGACAGTTCTCGCATGTGGCCCAACAAAAGATAATCTCGCATAAATTGCACGTACTGTGAATGCAGACTGAGGTCTTTCTTTAGGCGGCGCTCTACGTCCCTGAATCTTGTTAGCGCTCCCTGTAATGCATCCGAAAACTGTTTCTTGGAGTTTTTGAACGGAAGTTCGACGATGTAACGCCCCGTAGAGTCGCGAGTGTGCGTCTTCACAAAGTGCTGTTCAACTTCATCGTCCTCTGGATTCCAATGGAATTCCTGGTTGACATCCTCCAGCTCCCAAAAGCGCCGTATCGATGCGTCAATGTCAATAGCCGTGTGCATTGTTGTTGTAAATGAACATCCGGTAGTAACGATAGATGTTATAACCCATCAAAATATGGTCGAAATGGTGATGATGTTGCCTGGTTGTCGAGCATCGTTCGACATCGTGAGCGTGCCAGTCCGAGCGCCTTTACGCACCGCTCGGAGATGTACGACAGTTCCGAACCACTGTCCAAAAGCACCCGACAGGTAGTGTGCGATCCTGTTACGTTTCTTACAAACACTAGAGCTGTTGGCAATGCACTTTTTAGTAGCCCTTTTGGCTGTGTTGCGGTTGTTGATTTGTTGCACAAGGATTCAGCTGTGGGAGCCACTTGTGCCACTTGGGATATGGCTGATGGTGACCGTAGCATCTTCGGGAGCGCTTGGGTTGTGCCTTTCATCATCTCGTGAGTGTGTCGAAGTGACAGCTGCCTGCGAATTAAGAATATCTGCATGTAGCAGAGAGTGGTGACGATTATGGCAAAACTTGCATGTAAACTTGGATTCACACTTTCGCGACACATGCCCAGGCTTAAGGCAGTTAAAGCACAGTAATTTTGCCTTAACAAATGTGCGTCTCTGCTCGATTGACAATTCACCAAATTTTGAGCAGGCGTAGATCTTGTCCTCCTTGGAGTTACAGTTCCCACAAGTGTTTGCTTCCATCGTTACTAAAGCGTGTGCCGATCGCTTTGCCTTGCCATGTTGTGGGCCAACCTTGGAGTCTATGTCTCGAATTCCTCGCAACGTCGGTCTAAAAACTTTAGTAGATCATACACAGACGGAGATTCCAGTTCCCGGCTTCCTTCGATCCATTTGCGACGGGTTTCAGCATCGATCTTGGCTAGGATGAAGTGTATAATCCAGCAGTCCCTATTGGTTTGCCCTGCTGCATCCAGGCCGCGTACAATTTCGGTGGCTCCGTCCGTCACCTTGCGCAGAACCGTTACATCTGCTCTGACGGTCGAAGGTAAGTTAACAAATGTCTCCAGCAGAGTGTTAACAATGTGACGTGGTCTATTGTACCGATCAATTAGGCAAGTCCAAGCAGCCTCGTAAGCTACATCCGTTATAGGCATATGTCGAATCAAGTCAGCT